CCTAACCCCGCCATATTATGTCTACAATCTGCCCATTATCTTCACATCCACCGTGTTTTGACGCTTTTATACTTTATTGTCGATGCGGAAGCATCGACACACAGCATCAATATGCCATTAAGATTTTGGAAATGGATCTCTAATTTATAGTCTGAGGCATCGGGTCGTTCTGCACCGGGCAGACAGCGATGCTCCCGTATATTATTTGATACCAGAGGAGATCCGGCTGGTCCAAAAACCCACACATAAATACAATAATTAATGATCTTTGCGTCAAGCTACCAATCTGGGTTAGCAGCCTTCTAGTTAGTCAATAATAATGGGATCCTCAAAAGAAAACCCAGGTCGATGATGGCCACTCGCGGCGGTGTGAGAAGGAGCCCTGGAATCAGGAAGGCGAGCCCGCTTTTGCATTGGCTGCAACCCAGTAAAGTTAGGCAGCTTCCAACCAGTTTCTTGTTGGTGGGGTCGGTCTTTTCCATCCTGGAAAAGCAAACGCTTCTGTTGCTTTTGTTTGGGTACCGATTGACACCGAAGCTGGATGGGATTTCCAGAGGAAAAGTTTCTGTGCCTCCCAAGGTCGTGGTTATCACCATCCAACCCATGATTGTTGAATGAAGCGTGTCTGAGGCGAATTGGGCGGAAAGAGTGCCCAATAGGCTCAGTGGTAAATCCATCGGAAAGGGATAAAAGTATTTGAGATTCAAATTGATCGACAAATCCAGTGGCATGGTACATAGATGTAAGGGCGTCCTGGTCATCGTCTTCATCCTCGTCATAATCGCGATCAAAGCTGAAATCGCTTGCATGGAAGTTGCTTTCATCTGAAATGCCATCGTATTGGGTATCCGATTCCGATTCCGATTCTACGACAATTTGAGTGGGGGGCGCTGAAGGGCCTCTTTCTAGCTCAACCGGCGTTGAATGCCAAGTCACCGGGACAGGGCATATAGGTGGCATATTGGGAAGGTGGTCTTGAGTACAGGCTGGTGCAAAAAGCGGTCGAAGATTCGTTCGAATTCCGTCATTGCCGGATGGTGATGATGAGGACAATGGAACTTCCGGGAGCGGCTGGAAAGCTTTGCTTTCCACCTGAACGGATTCTTCCGTTTTAATAGCAACCCAATCGGTACAATCATCGGAATAGTCCAAGTCTGGGGTCAGTGTCAGGTCAACCACTTCAATAGCAGGGGGTAGGGATGAATTTGCTGGCAGGATGATCCAGTTGTCACCATCGTCTCTGCTAATCCTGATGCTCTCAATGGTCAATGGAAAGGTGTCCACAAGCTCTTTGAATAGATTGTCGACCTTGAGAGCGGATAGGGAAATAGGTATCCCACAAACCGGGCAGTTTGGCATCTTTTGAGACCCCGGCGACAAAGTGCCTAGCAAAAGGTCGCAAATGGCTGAACTGGAGGAACATGCAGACAAAAGAGACTTGCACATTACTTGAATATCAAAGCATTGCACGTGTTTGCAATCGACAGTGCGACCCGGAAACTGCATCCTGGCAAGAGAGAGAGGGCACATTAACGAAAAGGATGCGATCAAAGGCAGACATCCATTGTCTTCCAGTGGCAGGGACACCGTTTCTGTGGGCGACAAAAGAGAAAGCGTCTGTTCCCGTGAAAACCGCCTACGGAAAAAAGGGCCAAAAGATGGGCCAGGTTTTGAAGCATCTGCACTGAAAGGCGATGAACCAGATTGAGATGGAACGCAAAGGCTGGCCGATGAGCAAGATGGTGGCAAGGCTTGGGGCAAAGCCGAGGCGGCCTCCAAAATTCCGCCAATGATTTCGTCGGAGGAAAGCTCCCAGGCAGCGACGACTTGGAAAATGAACCGGCCATTGGATGTGGTATTGTGCGACAAGGGTGGGGAAGTCTGTAAAGATGAATTGCAATATGATATGACAATGTCGGTCTTGACATGTTCTGCGCAGTAGCTTGTAATATCAAGCGGCCGGTCATGATGTTCCTAAAGTTAACCCACGCCGTTACCTTTCTAAAATAGAGAGAATTGACCGAAATTCTCGATGAAAACGGAAAAGAAATCTTCTCCAACGGTGCGGTCGTTGATTTGCAAGCCTGCTCCTGGGCAGATAACACAAACGGCTTTGCAACGAGAAGTATCCTCGGGAATGCATTCCTCCACTTACCACAGCTCATCCTTATGGCGGCTAGAGAGTTGATCAGAAACGTGACGGTCGTTTGCTGGGACTCGATGCGATTGGAAAATGATGCGGAAAGGGGAATCACCTGGTTGTACAGAATTTCGGGCACCGTTCCGTTCATGATGCAGTCGCATCCGCCATTGTCCATCACCTCGGCACGGGAAAAGGGCTCTGAATATTGGAGGGACAGGTGCGCAATTGTGGGGAATTGATATGTCGATCTGTTGCTTTGATTTAAAACGGACCGGATAAGCATTGCTTTTTGCTCAAAAGCGGAAAACAGATTTTGGCGAATCAGGGAATCCAGCTCCTGCACGATGCTTTCCACAAGGCTGGCTTTTTTCCCCACTTGGGACAGGCCGAATTCGCCCAACAAACCCTTGATGTCGGAAATCAAAAGGCCCTGGTTGAGAATCTGACGGAACTGCGCAACCTAAAGTATCAAAAATGCAGGCTACAAGGGTGGCATCCAGATGCACCACCATCAAAGACGATGAATGAAATGTGTAAATTAGCTAAAATGTCCGAATTTAAATTTCCAACCCTATCTATGGGCATCATTTATCGTGGCACGTATGCTAGTCCCGCCAATGCTGGGGAATATCGGCTCCCGCAACGACCTTCCTGTCGCAACCGTCCTTCGTTACAATGGCAAGCCGAATGACGCCTCCGGAGGATCCATCGCGCTCCATGGCCAATGCGATGGCTATGATGAGCAAAGTCGCCTTACCATGGGTGACAAACTGCTCGCATTGCTCGCGCGTCATGCCTGCACGATATGCAGCATCGCAATAGCCATAAATATAAGTGGAGCCAGACCCGCCAATCGCATATGGCTGGCGATGGATGGAGCCGCCAAGCGGGATGTTGTACACGGCCCCGTTGCTCACCGAATCCCAGCCTGCCACGATTATCCCGGCCTGCAAGGAGGCTTTGTTTTCATAGCACAGGCTTTTGAAGATGTTTGCTGCTGCATGCACACTCATGGGCTCGTTCCTCTCGATGCTATGAAAAATTAAATCGATAAAAAACCCGAAAAATTCCAAGTAATACTTGACAATGTCTGCCAACGCCTGGGTATCTGCAGCCGATCCAGAGAGACAGCCATAGATAGACGAATCGACGAGGGGCGTGATTTTATCGGTAATTCTATTAGCAATGTAGGCCCCTGTGGTGGTTCGAGAGTCTGCACCGAGGATTACGCCGCCATCAAATTTGACAGCCATGATGGTGGTCTAATAGTAAGTTATGCATAGGATTGGGCATCATACGCCAAGGCTGACTGGTACAGAAATATCGTCCATGGCCATAGATTGATTAGACGGGGAAATTAAATTTAAATGTTTGCGTGTTTAATTGGGCCTTGGCCCAATAATTCTCCACATTTATCAAAGATTAACTTTGATAGATGGCAGTTGGTCCCATAAATGCCGCCTACATGGCCGTTTTGGCTGTACACATATGAAGGGGCTAATCTTTGCGGTCTTTCCATTTATCTGTGGCCATTCAATTGCGATCACTTCAGATGCACCCCTTTGTCAGTCCATGCCATTACCGGCATCAAATGCTTCTCTGCGTGGCAGCCCGTCAACTCCGAACAATCCGCTTTACCAGCCTTGCATATCAAATGGTCCGCTTTACGAGCCTTCCGTTTCAAACAACCCGCTTTGCGGGCCAGCATCTGCCGCCCCCCAAACGGCAACGATAGGCTCTGTAGAGTATGTCATTTTTGGAAGTGGATACGAGTCTTCGTTCGTCAATGCAAGTGCATATTGTGCTTCCCTCAATGAATCGTACCCATGGAATCAGGGATGCCAAAAATCCGTGCAGGGTTTGACACATTTGGAAACTCACCATAGGTTCCCTTGCCGACGTCAACAATACGATCTTTTCCGAGCTTTCTTCGATGATTGATGACAATGTATATATTAATAGCTGGAATGGCGATACTTACAACAGCTCGTGCCTTTCCTTATACCCTGAGGGTGCCATCGCAGGTAATTAACATGCTATGTAACAGATAGTGCCGATTGAGGGATGCAATGGCCCGCTGGGTTTCATCTGCCAAATAAATGCTACAGCTCATCAACCAAGGATGGCGGATCCTTCTCCGATGCCGATGGAATACGATGAAGACGAGCATTCTTATTATTAGCACAAATAAACATCTTGCTCCAAAAGGGTCGTAATGTCTCACCAAAGACCGCAAGTGCTTGCCATTAGAGGTGCCAAGAAATATAAAAATCAACAGCTTTCATTTCCAAGGCAACCGCGTATCGCGGTAAAAGCATTTGGGAGCAGCCCAATCCTATGAAGAGGTAGCATCAACTAGCTAATGGACGTGAATCCGGTTTGCTCATCAATCACGTAGCTAATGGACGGCAGGGATCCTGAAGAAGGACAAGCAACTGAGCCAAGAGTTGGATGGAAAAGAATCCGCTTATTTTTCTCCCTTTGCGCGCATGATGGCTCCAAAATAAGCTCGATTTTTTGGTCGAATAGGTGCCCATTGGATATCAGGCTGGGATGGATTGCAGGGGCGCTGCTTTCGAGGCTAGAAGTACCATCAACGATGGCCTTTATTTGGGATACAAAAATAAACGTGCACCTCATCCTGGTTCGAGCAAAATGGATGGCCTTTGGAAGATCAACCGAAATTTCATGTAGATCAACAGAAAATCTAATCAGCGACGTTATGTTGTCAACAATAATCAACAGCTCGTCGGCACACCACACGGGAAGAAAGTATTTGAGAAAGGAAATAAGCTCGGAGGATGACCTTATTTCGAAGATAAAAAACCTGTCCAGCAGCGACGGGTTGTTCCGTGTGGCTTGTAGTTGGAACAGTCTTTTTGAGGGGAAAGGTCCATCGGTTGTGAAAAAGGCAACTCTGTACGAAAAAGGGCGTTTTTTTAGCGAGCAAATTGCCGCTTGAATGGAAAATAGCGTTTTCCCAGTGCCCGCGGCGCCATAAAGTAAAGTGGCCCTTGGCAAACAAAGCGTTGAACCCAACAGCTGGTCAATGTTGGGATCTCCAATTTGAAGATGCTCCAACAAATACTCGGCATCATCACGAATGATATGTGATGTCCTTCCAGATTCTACCATTTCCTTATAAATGGCCTCTACGTCAGCCATACATAAAGCACTGTCCCCGTATGCATGGCGATGGTGAAGGGCCATTTGGAAGCCAAAATTTAGGGTTCAAAACTTTGTTGCGCATCCCACCACCAATTTAAATGGCCACCAATTTGCACTGCAGCATTTTTGAAATGGCCCCTCCCCATTGTAAATGACCATGTTGAAGAATGATGATAGACTCCCCCGCCCCCGCTAATGCAAGTTGGAAATTTAAAATAATTTAATTTTTGGACATCCGAGTGACACATTATGCCTGCTCCCAATTGTAATACTTGAATTCTTTCTCGACCTTCTGCAAGCTCTCTACTCTGCTTAGGTCGACTTCGGAATTTTTCAATTTGCTGGGCTTTAACGGGCTTTTTTCGTTCAAAACTGCATTTACTTCATGCATCAAGTCAAAATGAAACGTCAATGGATTGGGTCGATATGGACTAGGGACCTGCTTTTCGTTCAGTTTGTTCCAGTCGATCTTTTTAAAGAACCTATGCCTCATAATCGACTTAAATGACGATTCTTTGGCCTGTTTAAAGCCACCGGAAAGATTCTCATCATTTTCACTATCCAGGCAGGTGCATTTTTGATCGGGAAGCGCGCTAGACACCTGGTAATGGATTCCGTCCTCAAACCCGATTCGTCTTTTTGGATTCATTTTAAGCAGGGATTTTAAGAAATCAATGGATTCTTGGGAATATTTCCCCTTCACAATGGGGAACTGCCCCTTCATGATCGCCTTCATCAGCTCTACTTTGGTATTGCCTTTAAACGGTCGCCTTCCAAACATCAGCTCATACATCACTATGCCAAGGCTCCACCAATCAATGGAGCCCCTGTATCCCGATTTTCTGAGGAGCTCTGGAGCCATGTAGGAGACGGTCCCAGATCTGCTGCTTAGCCTGAACCCCTCCCCTGGAACTAAAAAATATGCACAACACAAGCTTACTTTCCCCTGCAACGTTGAAATCCGATATGTGTATGAATCCGAAAGAGTCTAACAGTAAATTTTCCGGCTTGATATCTCTGTGCACGATTCCCATCGTATGGAGATAATGAATGGCAATGCAACACTGTGCCATAAAGTGAGTCACCACTAGCTCAGGAACTCGGAGCCTTGTCAGTTTTATGTGATGCTCATTTTGGGTTAATTTTTTTTCATTTGAAAATTGGAGGCAAGGAAAAATGGATCTTGGTTGCCGCCTTGGGGACACCGATCGGCAAGGGCTGTAGGCATTGTCGAGGTAGTACCTGAGATCCCCTCCTAGCATCAAATCCATCACCATGTATATGTTGATGTCATCTTGGAAGGCATATCGAAGGTTCACCAAAAAAGGGTGGGGGCAAAGATTCTCAAGAATCCTGCGCTCCTTTAGAACGCCATCGATCTTTTTGGACAAAATAAATTCTTCTTTTGAAATGTACTTTAGCGCATAAAATTTGCCCGTTGCTTTGCTTTGGCTTATTACGACCTTGTAAAACGATCCTTGCCCAACGGCCCGAAGAACACGAAAGTCTTTGATGCTAACTAGGGGTAAGTAAATTTTTATGCGGACCTATTTTTTTCTCCTCCACTGAAGTGGCGTCATTTGTGAAATCTTCGTATGAGTGGCTGGGATTTGGCCTATCTTTTACGGTTCCAAGGCAATTGCCCATTTGAAGGAATTGCAGAATGGAGATTCTAGTTGTCAACATATGCTGCCCCACGACCAGATTATTAATTGGTGACACATGCAATGCATCCTATTTGTTCAAATGCTCTGGTGTGTCGTTTGAATGCTCAAATTTAAATTTATTTTGTGCTCCAATCAAAGTTCAAGGGGGCACGGGACGGGTGTAATTTTGAAATTCAATATTTAAGTTTAATTCTTTCGATGGGACAAGACAATGCCAACAATTGGTGGAGATTCCGCTACAGAAATGTTTTTCAATACGGGATTTCGCCGTTTTATCAAAAGGCTGTTTTGAATGATTTTGCATACGAATCCAAAAAGCTTCTCATCCATTCGACAAAGAACGTGCTAGCGTTCGTCCCCTTTGGGCTGGGCGCAATTGGGCTTGTCATGTGGGCCAATGCCGACCACAAGAAGCGCCATAGAAAGGCATACCATCACCATGAAAGTGGCCATATCACCGCTGCAGAATCCTAACCCCAACCCCAACCCTAAGCCTAAATACATTTCACCCTGTAAACTCTGTTCCATAGTGTGATGTTTGTAATCTTGTCTGATTTGGCATTTGTATTGCGTGTGTGCCCGCTCTCGCCTAAACTAGGCGATAAATGTGAGTTTAAAGTACACCGATGCACTTACGGCCGCACAGTAGCTTCGTGAGTTTGTCAAAGTTTATTATTAATTTACCAAACACTATTGGCAGTCTTCTTTTGCAGCCAGAACTGAATCAAGAACATCAAAATTGGTGGGTCTGTTGAACTCTTCCGGGGAGGCTTTTGTGAGATTCTCGATTTTATCAAAGTTGCTGATGTAGTGTTTGCGAAGTTCCTTGTTGGCGACGAGCACCGTTTTTTGAAGACGCTCTAAATTGATCAAATCTTTAATCGACTCGTGCTGCTTGGTGATGTCGGCTATTTGCTCAATATTTGTCGTGTGGATTCCATTGTCAAACATGAGCGCAACAAGCAAACAGACTCCAAAGAAAAGGTGACGGATGATGGTCAGCTTTTGGGTGAGGCCAACATTTTCGGCATCAGAAAAAAGATCTGCATAGATGTCTAAAGAGGCAACCTCGTGGGGTGCCAAATAATAAAGCGACTCAAAAATGCCAAAAAACAGCGTAAGAACGACCAGGATTTTGCGCCACGATCCCTTTTCCTTTTTCACGGAGGCCAAGCCAATGATGACCAGGAAAACGCAGTAATCCTTGGCAGCACTGAATATGGCAAAAAGGCAAAAGTCCATTTCATCGGTGCACCAGTCACAGTTTAAGAAGGCATGCTCCCCATACTGAAGGTAATTTGAGCGGCGAGAGGGGCTTTTGAGGCGCTCAAAAAGACACTGCAACCTCTGATATTTCAGCCCATCATCGGAAACGAGGGGGTCATCTTGAGAAGAAAAAAAGGGGACCGAAGGCAGCTTCTTTCTATTCCACAGCCTTTCTCTGAAAAGATCGAATTCGTCCGCATCTCCACTGGCGCAACAAGAGTCTTTGAGGGTCTCAAAGACAGTTGAGAACGATTTTGAGGCCTCCGCTTGTCTTGTGACAAAGTCGGTGTAATGGGTTCTCAGCTGGAATATAGGGACATCCACGTCGGCCCCAATTTGCTGGAAAAAGTTTTTTGGACATCCGCCTCCAAGCGAAATCCAGAAATAATTAATCACTGCAACGATCAGAATGGAAATACGAATGCGATCCCAAAGTGATGGCACGGTGATCATCAATTGCTTGTCGGACTGTGGTTGGGCTTTGGCAGCATTTGCGAGCGCCTTGAACAGCTTTCCAAGGATCCACGGCAAAAAGGAAACAATCAAAAACTTTACTAAGTCCCAGGTATCCATGATCAAACGAGGGGAACGCGACGAGCGGCTAATGATATGGCGAAACTAAATTGTTTTAAAAATTACACCAATAAGTTGCACATTTTATTGCAGGCCCAAATGTGCATCATTGTGGCCGGTGGGCCCTCATATCCAAACCCTATGAAATGCATAGCCGATCAATAAAACCCCATTGACGTGGAAACACTAATTTGGGAAGGGTTAGATACATGTCAGTATAATGCGAACGTTGAACAAATTGAAAACATCCTCGTCTGGGGACGGCATGAAGGAATTGTTGACATACAAATACTAAAAATTAGACACGTCAAAGACACAATAGGACAGTTTTCTAAATTCATTTTCTCTTTCAAATATGCTTCCACATCCATGATCAGGAACTTTTGTTTGCGGTATTTTTCCACCTCCAATTGTAGCTCTGAATTTCTCAGCACCGGTGTGTTTGAGAGGGCCTTAAACTTTAATCTGATGGACATCACCAAAGAATAGGAAAATTTATTTTTTAAAGTTGAAGGGCCTTTCTAGCTGCACGGACAATCGTTTCCAACGAGGGGAGCGAGTTCTGCTCCAAAACCTGATTGTAGGGCATGGGGATGTCTGCCCCGGTTACCCTAATAATTGGCCCATCTAAAAAGTCGAATCCAGGCCCTTCGGTGACTTGGGCTGAAATTTCAGAGCCAATGCCAAACATTGGCCAGCCTCCCTCGACGATCACTAAATTGTTTGTTTTGGCCAGAGACGTGAGGATTGTATCTATGTCCAAAGGGCGAATGCTTCTTAAATTGATAACCTCTGAAGACACGCCGTACTCCAACTCTAGTTTCTGTGCGGCCTCGAGAGCCACGCCCACCAACATGGAGTGGGACACGATCGTTATATCAACGCCTACTTGTCAGGCAACAAGAAAATGTACCCTCGCGCTCAACATGGGCCTTCCCTATTGGAAGCACAAAATTGGAATCTTTTAGATTTTCAGTCAATGGGAATGATCGGCCATACATCAGCTCGTTCTCCAGAAACACAACTGGATTTGGATCCCTGATTGCAGCCTTAAATGATAAGGCGGGCAGGGTTACCTTTAAAAGGCCCTTTGCATCTTCTGCAGAATATGGCGACAGAACTTTGAGGCCAGGAACGGACCCATACCACGCAGCAAAGCATTGCGAATGCTGGGCAGCTACAAATTGGGGCAGAAAAAACATACCGACGCCTGCAGCAGCACCATTAGGTCCTCTGAAAACGATTGGACAGCCAATAAGGCCTCCGGACATGTACAGGATCTTGGCAGCAGAATTTACAACATGGTCTATGGCCTTTTAAAAATTAAAAGTCACAATTACCTGCATGGAAAAGTTGAATGTCATAAACTCGCAAATTGGCTTGAGCCCTGACAGCGCAGCACCGACGGCAAGGCCTGTAAAGCCAGCCTCAGTGATGGGCGTGTCAACGACGCGAGAATCTCCATATTTCTCATGAAGACCACGAGAAACCTTGTAGGCGCCATTGTATTTGGCCACTTCCTCCCCGATAAGAAATACATTATTGTCCATGGTCATTTCCTCGTCCATGGCCATATTTAAAGCGTCTCGGACTGTGATTGTTGCCTACAGCCGATGAGGAGCAAAAATGGAAATACCTCAGTCGAGTATGTGACACGTAGAGTCCGTTTGAACAGACCATTCGATAAAGCCTTCAAAAACATGGGATTGGGAAAGAGAGATCGCAAATTAAACAATGTCACGATCACGAAATTTAATATGCAATTTATTCCGGGCAATTTGTGTTCAATGAACGGGCCTCCCTATGTGGAGATTTTGTTTTCTCAAAGCCTGCTTTCTCAAGCGGAAAGGTTCAGCGATGTCATTTTTGACATGCAGAAAAAAAATTTGAACCAAATTAAAAGGGAAATGCAGGTGTGCCGCGAACCTTGCCTTACAATAGGATGCGTTTCAAAAACTTGCCTCCAAAGATGGCTTTTTGAGCGTTCAAACACAACCACACACCGCATTTTTTGAGGAAACCTGCAATTGTACATCAAAATCCATCCGAAATTCGATGTCCAAAGAGCCGGCTCTGCCTTTTGTATTTCCTTCGCTGGCCAAGGACGACTTGAACTTTTGTTCGGTAAGTTGGATTGGCGACAACCAATTTAGAATGGCGAAATATGCCTTGCCGTTAATGAGTCCATCAGCTCCATCCCAAGATATGCTTATTGGACCGAAATCACGGCAAACGAAAAGGTTTCCAACGCCATTTGCAATTTTAGGCAGAAGATTATCCTGTTCTGAACTCTGTCCCGTACTTTGGAGATTCTGTTGATATTGAAGATAAAAGCTATTTGAGGCTATACGAGTATATAGATATTCCGGTAGAGAGCGATTCGGAAGGTTCCCCAACCCCTTTACCTTGTAGAATGTTCGGTTCAAGATGCGATCTATGACAGACTCATTACTCGTCTCGAGTCTGGATCATATTCGCTGAATGAATATTCCCTGCTATGGACTCTCTCATCGATAGATGTAAATGCCCGTCGAAGGTTATTTTTTCGCTTTACCTGTAAGATTGTTAAAGTTGCTGCCATGGAAGGGGACATCCAACCTACTTGAGGCAAATAGGTGCATCTCCGAACTAAATCTGAAGGACCTTGTTTGTTCTTTCTGCGGAGCATACGATTGTAGGGTCCATTTTGGTATTTTGGTCTTCATTTTACCTTATAGATTTGCCAAAGGGTACCATTTAGCCCAAATTTTTCAAGGGGTCTCTTCTGGGCTATTTCCTCGCAAGAAAAATTCGTCTTCTTTTCCCCCTAAAACGATTCCATGCTCACAAAGCTTCTGTAGGCTTTCTGCGCTAAAGATTCCTTCACCCCCCACCCCAAGGCCATTGAGTGAAATCGAAAAGTCTCTGTTTGATAGAGCCTCAAGGATCTTTCCCGGCGATTCATGTTCGCAAAGCGTGTTTTTGCCCCAAAGGACATGTGCTGAACTGGTACTTTTATAGCCTCATATCTCATAGTCCTTTCTTGTGTCCGGAAACCATGAGCACCCGCCATCGGATCCGTTGGACTCCAAAAATAATGACACGCGACACTCTGCCGCAGGCGCATCTTCTGTTTATTTGCCAATTTTTTCTTGTGGTCATCCTTTTGCGGAATGTAGAAAGCAATGGTGCTCCTGCATCATTTCGGGTCGAAAATGCACTCCTTCCTGTGCGTGTGGAAACAAGTGCAGCAATTTTTTTAAAGGATGCCACTGTACAAAGGGCTGCAGCTCTTCGACATGCCCCTGTTTTTCAATGCACATGGAATGCCACCCCAGTCTTTGCCGGAGCTGTAAAGATATTGCCTTGTGCAAAAATTCATCCATTCAACACAGTTGGAGCAAGGTTTTTGCAAGCCTTCTTACGGGGATTTAGGGCTTGCTTATTGGGAAATCCGATATCTCTGGCTGGGGCGTGTTTGCAGCGGAGTCTATTGTCAAAGGCTCGTTTATTGCAGAATATACTGGAGAAGTAGTCGATGCAATCTTCTTTTTCTAGATTATTAGCCAAATCGAAGCAGAACGACGGGGATTCGTCTATGACCAAAGGAAGCTTTCCTTTTTGTTTAATTTGAACAAAGGTTCCAAACTAACCAGTCATACTCCTAGACTTTGTCATTGATGCCACCAAAAAAGGGGGGTTAGTCCGATTTGCCAATCATTCTACGTGTCCAAATGCAATTGCTAAAGGTTTTCCATTCACATCACTTCCCATTTAAGCAATGAATGTCCTTGGAATCTTGAGAATAGGAATCTACGCGAGAGCAAACATTGATGCCGGCGATGAGATTACATTTGATTACAAGTATTTCGTTTTGCTTACCTTCCCCCATTAGATATGAAAAGGAGGCTGAAAAATTCGTTCCCATCAAGGCAATTTCTAAAAGTAAAGAGGCGGCGTCTAAATGATCGATTGAGTGCCCAATTCCGATTTGTCCAAGTACACCTTTTGATCCCATTCTGGCGGACAATTTGGCAATTTAAATTGGAAATTTACATGTGTGCTACTAACTTTGGCCTCAATTTTACTGCTCCAAGGGCCGTTTTAAATTAAATTGATTTCATTTTAACTTGCTTCATGCGAGCGCTCGCTTATTCTTCGTTTGGATGCGTCGCGGATACCCGTGCTCTTTGTTTTTAATTTGGCTAGTAAAGCTTACAACCGCAATTCCAACTTCATTTGGAAGCCCATTTCGGCACCAAAATAACAACGCTCCCGATGTACATGTAAAATGGATGGCCGCACCCATAAACCCCTCTGATCTTAACCAGGTCATCATGCTTAATTTTACAGAAGATCGAAGGGGCTTATCCAATCCGTCCAGATTCTTTTCCAGCCGTTGCTGGAAACGAAGGCGTTGGAAGAATCGTCGAGGTTTTGACCTCTGGAACCTCCCTTTGCAAAGGCGATTGGGTGATCCCAGTTTCTCCCGGTTTAGGTTCTACATGTTGACATGTTAACGGCTAGGTAATTTTGATCCCAACTTAACGCGTAAAAAGGCACCTGGAGGGAAGAATCTTTCGTTTGCTCAAACGACCTTATAAAAGTGGACAACACGCTTCCCTTGGCAATGGCATCGATGCTCCACGTGAATCCATGCACTGCATACAGGCTTTTAGACGATTTTTCGATCATGAAGCCAGGTATCAGTGACTATGAACAACCAGATCCTAAACATAGGCTCTCTATTAATCCAAAATGGAGCAAACTCTGCCGTCGGCCAATCGGTGATTCAAATTGCTAAAGCCAAATGCTTCAAGACAATCAATGTCATTCGGCGCCAAAGGTAAAACAACCATCTTTTCCCTTCCAAGGCCGGATTATGAAGAGATAAAAAGGCATCTAGAAGAGCTGGGCGCAGATATGGTCATATCGGACATCGACCTCGAGACGAGCTCTAACGATTTGGAGAAGAAAATTATCGAGAAATTCGGATCACTGCCAATCCTCGGGCTAAATTGCGTTGGAGGCTCAAATGCTTTGGGACTTGCAAAGCTGCTCCAGTATGCAAGTGTGCCTTAATTTTAGAAACAACGGATTGCTCCTCACATATGGAGCAATGGCAAAAAGGCCCATAACTCTTCCCGCCTCGCTTTTGATATTTAAGAACATCACATTCAAGGGGTTTTGGCTATCGTCTCTGGATAAAGCTGCTGATGAACCCAATGCCCGCTCCCAACGGATCGTATCTGAGATTTCAAAATGGATTAAAATGGGAACGTTTAAACTAGACTTTACCACACACCCTATGGATTCGTGGCAACATGCTATCGACACGGCTATCAAATCAAGCTTTACAAAGAGCAAGCAAATACTGCTTCTTTCCCCGGAACGCGATTAAATATACTAAACACGTAGAATTAAAGACCAAATCAGACAAAAGTTATCATCAAATCTCAGTGAGATTCCCAACGTTTCATCATCACGCTTGTAAATTAAAAAATTAAGAATGCGAGTAAATTTTATACTTTCGCCATTTCAATTTTGGAATATTCTAGAAGTAATGACTGCCCAATGATGGAACACTAAGAGGGTGCAAGGATACTTGCGCTTAGTGAACAAAGTGATAGGCTCTCCATATACGATTCTGCTTGCGAAATGGCCAGCATTTGGTCCTGGCGATTTCTTGGAGCATCGAATGTTGTATTGTGCATATTTAAAATTTTGGACTTAATTTGCTTTATAAAAATTACAATTATGGTCCATTTAATGGGATCACTTTATCATCTTTTAAGGGCCCCGATTTTCCGCGTTAGACCGTGTATGGTAGCCCCTCTTTCATTGCTGAACATTCGTATTAGCAATCACAGATACTTTTCAAATTTGAAATGGTAATTGGATCATACTTTAAGCGCCTTAGGGAGCAGCCAAACACGCCAGATGAGAAATCTCCTATTTCAGATCCAAATAGTTTAAAGAATCGCTCTGAAGATGTGAAAGAGCCTGTCCAAAATTTCGACGCTCAAAACGCTCAAAACGCTCAAAACGCTCAAAACAGTCAAAAAGCTCAAAACAGTCAAAATAGCTCGAAAGGTATCAGGGGAAAAATCAAGCTATTCTTTAACGAATATGGAAAGATTGGAGTCATCGTGTACATTGGCATATCGTCCTTTACGTTCTCCCTATGCTATTTGGGCGTAAAAGCCGGAATAGACTTGCAAAGGTTGTCTGAGCTTTTAAATATATCTGTTCCTGCCTGGAGTGGCAAAGCTGGCGGGTTTCTTATAACTTATGCTACCTACAAGCTGTTGTTACCCATTCGTATCGCTTTAACTGCAGCAATCACCCCGTACATTAAACGAAGGTTTAAACTTTAAACCCGCGAGCTCCTGAAAATAAATAATTGATTTATGTATGCACCCACCCA